GAGAAGAGGAGCTATGATGCTCTGAAAGCAGCTCTTGCTCAGTAAAAGATTTATTCTGCCTGTTCAGTTGACTATGATGGGACTAAGAGAACTATAGCAGGATCTGTCTTCGCCATTCGTGATGCTCAATAGTTACCAGTGCTGCCCTCCTTTAAAGGAGCGAAGGAGGATGCTGAAGAAGACTTGTTTGAGGAATGGGTCGAACGCCTCGAGGAAATGGGAGTCTGGTGTAGATGTGACGACCATAAAAAGTTAACACAGCTTCGATTGAGGCTGGAGGGTTCCGCTAGACCCTTCTACAAGTCTTGCAGTGAGTCTGAGAAGAGGAGCTATGATGCTCTGAAAGCAGCTCTTGCTCAGTAAAAGATTTATTCTGCCTGTTCAGTTGACTATGATGGGACTAAGAGAACTATAGCAGGATCTGTCTTCGCCATTCGTGATGCTCAATAGTTACCAGTGCTGCCCTCCTTTAAAGGAGCGAAGGAGGATGCTGAAGAAGACTTGTTTGAGGAATGGGTTGAACGCCTCGAGGAAATGGCAGTATGGTGTAGATGTGACGACCATAAAAAGTTAACACAGCTTCGATTGAGGCTGGAGGGTCCCGCTAGATCCTTCTACAAGTACAAGTCTTACAGTGAGTCTGAGAAGAGGAGCTATGATGCTCTGAAACCAGCTCTTGTTAAAAGATTTATCCCTGTTCGACTGACAGCAGTACAGACCAGCAGGGGAGACAATTAAAGTTCGAATGAGTCAGCTGATGAGTATATATGCTTAGGAGTTGAGGAAGTTATTATATAAAGCATATCCCCCAACCTATCATGGGACTCCAGAAGCAGAATTATTAGGTAAGAGGAGTGTTCTCTCTAATCAATCTGTTGTAGAAGGGAATTTCGAGGACTTGGTGTGTAAGGCTCGCTTGAAGAGGCAAAGTGGAAGGAGACAAACCTTGGGACAGAAGAGAAACCAAGGGAAAAAAAGCCTCCAAGGAAGCCTAGTGATGACTCTGAAGAGAAATAAAGGGGGCTACAAGTGCCATCGATGTGGCAGTACACAACACACTTTATTCGTGACTGTCCATTCGAAGGATGGGGAGCAACAAAAGAAGCTAGGTCTTATTTTGTAAATGGTAGGTTCATTACATGTACTATAATCTTGTTATGTCATCACAACAAAACTATAATGTCCCACCCTATGCCTCCCCTAGCATGATTAATATTGTATTATGTCTGTGCATATGTCACTTCACGTAATAATGCCTTTACATTTGCTAAAATCTGTATAAACATTTGTTCCCTAATTAAGATTGGTTTAGAACTTGCTCTTTGTGTGTCTTGTGAATTTTAAGATTCAAATTTAAATTTTAAATATTCAATTTTAAAATAAAATTCAATTTTAAATTTACAAGTTGTTTGTCCTAATGTTATCGTAAGATCATGTTAACTTGTATTCCTTTTCTTTTGATTAGGAGAGACTGATATAATCTGCCCTGCTAACTGTGATGGCCAGTCATGACCACGTCCACGGCTGCAGACCGCGGCTGAACTAGAGAAACAGAAGTGGGAGGCCAGAGGAGAGGAGCTCGATGGTTAAGAGAAGAGCGAGCTGGAGGCGAAAACCTGAGCAACTGGAATACACAGTGGAGACGTCAATCTCTGGCTCCTTGGATGAGACAGGGACCGAGTGAATGGTAAAAGGATGTCTTCCCATTCATGATGCTTAACAGTTACCAGTGCTGCCGCCCTTTAAAGGAGCGAAGGAGTATGCTGAAGAAGACTCGTTTGAGGAATGGGTTGACCGCTTCAAGGAAATGGCAGTCTAATGTAGATGGGACGACCACTAGATGTCTAACACAGTTTCCATTGAGGCTGGAGGGCCCCAGCGCTAGATCCTTCTACAAGCCTTGCAGTGATTGAGTCTGAGAAGAGGAGATGTGATACTCTGAAAGCAGCTCTTGCTAAAAGATTTACTCCCGTTCGACTAACAGCAGTACAGACCAGTATGTTTCATTAGAGGAGACAAGGTTCGAACGAGTCAGTTGATGAGTATGCTTATAGGAGTTGAAGTTATTCTATATATAAAGAT